TAAGATAGTTCGATCTACCAGACGTTGCCAGCACAATCATCCCCACCTGCTCTGAAAAGCAAGTGGGCAACCTGATTTTTACAATCCTGCCTCTGCAAATTACTCTTTGCTTGTTTATTGGCCAAAAGATACCAGACCACTTTGTCTCGTTTTGCCAGTGAAGCCCTACAGTGGGAGGAGGCAGCAAGACACAGTCTACATAAGATCAGACAGGAGGGATTGCTGTGGGACTCTGATTGCAATTAATAAAGATAGTCTGACAGGATGACTGCAACTCTAAGGAGGAAACTAGTAGAGGTCTCCAGGTTCAAAAAGTAGGAGAAGTGCATCTTCTCTAAACAACTGCATTTTCATGTTTCCAGCACAACACATTTCATCTATGTGCACTTGGTGGGTGTGTAGTGTATTTCAATCCACCCACATGCCAAGCTGAACAGAAATAGCACAAAAGTAAGAGAACATAGAGTACTTACATTTCTACTCACAATATATGAGGTAACTGAAATCATCACTCTAAAAGCAGAAAGAATGCAACAAAACCCCTATCAATAAATATTGTTTGAAATATTTCTGTGCTGGTAAGGGAATAGACTAGATGACCAAATAGGACTCTTCCATCTTCAATCTCTATAAGGACAACGGATCTTGCAATTTCTTTCTCTGCTTGTTGGCAAAAGTACACATCTTGTAAACTTTCAGAGCTTTAAACCCTCAATGCTTCATGACTTCTTTCCGCAAGTCATTAAGTTCTGAGTAAGAGAAATAGCTCTATCAACAGGCAACCCAAAACCTAGTGATTACAAAGCTGCAACAAAGAGACTTTTAATTATGAGAGAAATCACAATATTTCAAGTACATTTAAAATTCAACCCAGTAAATGACAAAATTACAGGTAATCAATTGGGGAAATACAGTTTTGTCTCACTTCCAATCAGCAGGAGACTATAATTTTCATTTTATATACATAAATGAGAAATCTGATTTAAAGTAGCATATGAACAAAAATCAAACATGAACTTAAAATACTTCTGCAATCAACTGGGCATCTTTTCCAAAAATGGAGAGCCAAAATCTAATCATTTCTTATTATAGAAGATTACTGCAGCGTATTACCCCGGAGCCGTGGTCTTCAAAGCAGGGTGTGTGCAACCACAGGGGTTATGCAAGACAATCCATTGGGGTGCAGAAAGAAAAGATCAGAACTTCCATGTATATCATTTATAAATTAAAAAATATACATATGATGGGTGTGCATGCTCAAAGCTTTTACTGATACTGATGCATGACTGAAAAAGCTTAGAGACCACTGGCCTAGAGGATCCTGCCATGCAATTACTGCTGCCATGTCAAAGGCATCTAATAAAGATCCTGGTGAGATATAAGCCCTCTTTTACATCTGTTCTCAACTATCAGTTATACAAATGAGTGAACATTTCTCTAGGAGGCAGATTTGTGAGCTCCTATCTTTTGTTAAGCAGCATGGATTCACAAAAACCCCTAATTCCTCAACTTTTTATTTGTTTTCAAGAAATGCAACTTACTGATTTCTCATTAATCTCTTCCCTCCACTGCATTAACCGTCAGCATTTGATGAAAGGGCTAATTTTCCTTATGTGGCCAGTTAAACAAGGGCACAACATGTGTCAATCAAGACAGGTAACAAGGTATTTGCAAATGGGAATAGATGGCCCCTCTGGAAAACTCTTAAATGAAGGCACAAAGTTAGTGTTCTTTTTTATCTGGGCTACCTCACTTGCATCAAAATGTGGCCAGAGAACAAAATCTGGCTCAGCCGCTATGTTAAAAAGTAAGCCATGGATTACAATGTGCAAATGCAGAAGAGGAAAATTTTGCTCTTATTCAAAACACAATCATCAGATTCGTTAATCTCTCTTCCTACCTGGAATGAGAAGGTTGTAGAAATGGTGACTAAACAGAAACCTCACATTTCCTGTAATCATTATGAAGATGTTTGGGCTGCCTGATTTAGGGAAAATGTGAATAAGAAGAGACAAAATAATAACAGCACAAAGAAAATATACCAAGCATCCTTCCTCAGCATCACCTAACAAAACACAGGATGGGCGGTGAAGTTGAAAGGTAATACTCTTAAATTAACAGAAATATTTTTTTTTAATTTAGTGCAATGTATAATTATTCCTTCAAACTCTGTATAGTAAGAACATCTGCAATTACAATGAGTGAAATTAGGACAATAATTGTGAACGCTTCATGGCATACACCAACCACATCAAGCATCAGCTAAAGATTTGCCTAATGGCAGAATATATCTACGTACTGCTCACAGAAAGTTATTTGAACTGGTTAATACAAGGCCCAGCAACAGCTAGTTCTTGGTTTGGGGAAAGCTGAAAACCAAATGCCAGCAGTGTACAAAGTCACAAGTAATGCATACAAATGTTGTGGATTTACAGGAAGAGGCCATTTTTTCTTGGTTTTGCTTTTGTATTGTATGTACAGATTGCTAGATGCTACTCTTACTCAAAGGTAAAATCTTTGAGTCTTAAATAACATTGTTCCTGTTATTTGTCCTATCTAAAGCTAACTGGAGAAACAGTGATGAAATCTTACTGAATTGTAATTCCTTTTCAATGAAATTGAATAAATAAAATCCCTGACATCAGAATGTTTCAATATTTTTAGGGCTGCACATTTCAGTTTTTCACCAAATCTACCTGCAATAGTACAACAACATAAAAAAAACATTTCTGATGACTCTTAAAAGCCTCTCCAATCTTCCTTCCCTGTGAATTCTGAAATTCTTTTATTTACTTTTAATTTGGAAGATAACTCAATTGTGAATTCCTCCAGGAAATCAAATTTCCATCTTTAGCATTGCTCTACTCTAGCTATCAGAAATGAAGCATCTGAATGGAAATGTTACATGGTCACCCTTCTCAGTTTTACAAAGCTATCGTTGGAGGCTGGATTGCAAGACTGAATGAAGATTGCATTCTTGGCTACACCACTAAAACATAATGAAACAGTGCTGTCTGACATAGCTCCTGTTGTACACATGGTACTCATTTCAGGCTCAATCTGTCTGCCCAAATATAGGTACAAAAAAAGTTAAGATGTTCTAGATTATATCCACAGGGCTGGCAAGCATGGCATAGGACAAGTGGGAGAGCCACGTCCTTCTGGAGAGGCAGCTGGATGCTAGGCACGGTTTTTTCGCACTTTAAAGATGGCACTGTACACCATACCTTGGCAACTGTGTTGAGCCCTTCCAGTTTTTAATTTTGTAATGTGTATCAATAAGAAAAGACAAAAAAAAAGTAAAAAAATGTAGCTGTGCAATACATAGTTGATACTGTTTTACAATTTGCAGGTATATTCTTGGAGGACATTCATGTTCATTCTCCCAGTTTGACTAACCCTATCGCAAGGTTTTCAGAGTTTTAGGTCTTCTTTTCAGTTGTCAAATTCAAGAAGTTCAAGGGTTCAGACTCCCTCTTCACTCCTCGATTCTTTTAGTTTAAGGTCAGCTAATAACAAGCCACAAATCTGGTACTTGTCAGCTTATTTCTACATATCCTTTTTTTCTTAAGAATTTGCCAGCTAGCTGATCACAAAATGTTGAATACTGGCAAACAAGTCACTGGCCAGATCAAACGCTAACAGAGATGATGAGCACAACAGACCCTGGTGCTTTCAGTTACAGCTGATATGTCTTTTTGTTTCACTTGAATGCCACTATTTGACACTGCGCTCCATGTTAAATAGAGACACAAGTGTAGTATTTTTTACTCATGATGACTCTCATAACCTACTAAAAATCCTGATTTCTTTCATGAGCAAATTTCACTCTGATATTATGAAGCCATGATTTGGTGTCTTTAAAGGAAGACCCAACTTGAGATCTATCCCCTAAATATATATCAAAATAATGTAAATGCATATTTATAATTTAAAATTCTAGATATTCTTTATGGCCGTCACAGCTGCTTCACCTACATTCCTCTTCCATACATTAGTTTGCAAACTTCCAATACAATTCATCCAACTGACATGGTAAACAAGCTATATGTTACCAAATTTCAATTTTTTTAGAGCTATTCAGAGACAACAGGTGTCCAAACAGCAAACAGAATCCATACTAAATTAATTGCTGCAATGTTTTGTAGCCAAGTGTTACAAAAAATTGCTAGCAAGTATCTCTCTTTAAATGGACCATCTAGTAAATGAATGTCACCAGAGTCTGAGTTTGCTTTCAGAAATAATGTTATTTAAGTGAAAATCTTGTATGCAAATACAAATAGTTAGTCATTTCCTGTGGGTCTGCATATTGAAAAAATTAATTTTAACCTCTTCATATGAAAAGCATTAACATTTCAGCAACAGGTTACACGAGAAAACTGTTGATCTTAAAAATTATTTTTTTATAAGATGATGATATTCACTGTACTATCCATTGGCTTTCTGAGGGTCCTTACCCAAAGGATAAGGCTTTGTGGATCCTTCCTTTATTCAGTTTAACACTAGATAACAGTGCATGTCAAATGACTGGAAGTATTTGACAAATGCAAACAAATCAAGGGTCAGTTAGATATATGGCAAATAATAAATATATGGCAAAAATGCTCAAATTTTGTTGCAAAGAGTAAAAAAAAGTATTTGAATAGTCCAGATTTTAATACCATAAAATGATGTATCATGTAACTGATGGAATACTTAAAGTTGGTAAATACTAAACTGAATTGAATTGTATTAATTTTACTTAATGACATCTACAATTTTTAATTTTTAAAAATAATACAGTAAATGCAATTTGGAGCTATACAGACAAATCTTACAGCTATCAATAGACTGTGTTTATCTGAAGACAGAATTTAACTGAAAATGTTTCCAAATACAATGGAAAGCCAATTTGAAGGTTTTGTCTATGTAGATTGCTTTACTGTTATGTTGTAAATCTACAAAAACTAGAACATTGTACATAGAAAAAAGTAAGTTTTTAGGAATTTAAAATTACTTACAAGCTGTTCAGACTTTACACCGTAGAGCTGAATGGTCTTTGCCACATTTTTTGCCACAGCTAAGCTCAGGTCTGGATCAACAGCAGCCACATTCAGCTCACTGGAAGCAAAGATTACAAATCTTAATTAACAGCTGTACTGTATTTAATTGATAAAGATTAAACTATGAATACAGAGTTACGTGGCACGTCAATTTAGAGAGAGTAACACATACAACCAAGTCTTTCTAAGCACTGTAATTCAGTTTACAATTTAACAAGTCATTTGGGAATTTTATGTGCAGTGTTCCTATTCTAGTAAAAATGAGCAAAGTTTAGGAATGACACTTCAGTATGAAATCACTCTTAGTAAGCCATTCAAAAATATTGACTGCAATTAACTACATTCAAGCTTTGGCAGCAGCCTTCAAACATTACAGGTGAATACACAGTCATTCAATGCTGGAATTACATGAGCTGTGCAGAAATACCCAGGGGACGCCTTAGCTTGACACAACTAATACGCTGTGTTTTAGGCAATCCTTTATAGTAGCAGAGTCCCCAAAGGGATGGCAGGGAACAAACGGAAGAAGAAAAAGACTTTCGAATAATTTCCAGTATTTCTTGTTCATGGAACCCCCAGATCTCCAGCAGCTGGGTCTACATCTATAAATGCTCTACTGCAAACAGACAAGCATAAGGACCATTGCCCTGCTAGTGATGAGATTAACCTCTCCCAAGAACTGGAGACACTAGGTACCCTGACATAGGAATAAGCTTATCCAAGAAATCTGCAGGGGCCCAAACATCATTAGCTAAAGGTCACTCTGTAAAACACTGAAATTACATAATTTTCATATTGTTTTCTCTTCTCCTCTGCAAGAAGCACCAATAGGCATGTTCTGAGCATCTGTAATTCCCAGTCACAAGTACAGTGTCAGTATTTAGTCCTACACACACACATACTATGAATACTGCCCATCATTTTCAGACTGTATTAAACAGAGTAGTTCTTACCAAAACCTTATGAGGAAAAAAACTACCATTGGTAATTTAAGCATCACATTTTACAAATTCTACCTGGAACAGCAAGCTAATAAAGATGACTGTTTCACTCCAACAGAATATTTACATCAGGCACTGTCACTTGCAGCCAAGTAACTATCATCTTCCCTTTGACACAGTGAGAATAACGAAGATGAGAGACATTTACAGTATGTGTAAAGTTTCTCTTCCTGATGTTTTATACGCTTCAACAGTAAAACTTAAATTAAAATTTCAGTTATACCAGAAAATCAAAACACAGAAAATAAGTAATTTATAATAAATTTTAATAAAGAGGTGATTATCCCTGATCTCCTGTATTCAGTGTTGTTGCAGCCTCACCTTGAATACTGCGTGCAGTGCTGGGCCCCTTAATAAGAAGGATGCCTCCAGAGGAGGGCAACAAAGCTGGTGAAAGGGCTGGCAGAAATGTCCTACAAGGAGCAGCTAAGGACTTTGGGCTTGTCTAGTTTGCAGAAAAAGAGGCTGAGGGGTGACCTCATTGCTATCTACAGCTTCCAGAGATGGGGATGTGGAGAGGAGGCACTGATCTCTTGTCCCTGGTATCCAGTGATAGGATGTGTAGGAATGGTTCAAAGCTGCCTCAGGCGAGGTTCAGACTGGACATCAGGAAGGCATTTCTTTACTGAGAGGGTAGTCAAACACTGGAACAGGCTTCCTGGAGAGGTGGTGGATGCCCCAGGCCTGTCAGTGTTACAGAGGTGTTTGGACAATGCCCTTAACATGCTTTAACTTTTGTCCAGCCCTGAGTTGGTCAGGCAGTTGGACTGGATGATTGCTGTAGTCCCTTCTATTCTATTCTATTCTGTTCTGTTCTGTTCTGTTCCATTCCGTCCCATCCTATTCCTATTCCTATTCCTATTCCTATTCCTATTCCTATTCCTATTCCTATTCCTATTCCTATTCCTATTCCTATTCCTATTCCTATTCCTATTCCTATTCCTATTCCTATTCCTATTCCTATTCCTATTCCTATTCCTATTCCTATTCCTATTCCTATTCCTATTCCTATTCCTATTCCTATTCCTATTCCTATTCCTATTCCACTCTATTCTACCCTACTCTACCCTAAATCCTGACTTAATTTTTACACTAATCAGTTTCGTAACTAAAGAGTAATAAACTTTTTACTGCTATGGAAGTCTCATTTATAAAAGTGTAACTTATGATAAAAAACATGTTGAAGATTACATTTTTGCAATGTATTATATGTGCCTACCTGGCTATAGTTTTAATGATGCTGTCAAGTTCATCAGAAGAAGGAGGATTCCGACCTCCAGGAGGGAAAACAAGATTGATGGGGTCAAAGAGTCGAGATAAGGATTTTGACAAATAAGCAGCTTCATATTGTTGCAGTGAATCTTTCAAGGCCTTTTCTGGACTGTGGGTATAAGAAAAAATTACTACATTTTAAATTAAAATACACAATAGAATTGAATCTTTCCAGACCATACAAACTTCATAGTATTAAACCTGTTTTTTCTTTCTGCTCTTTAAGCATATATACTTGAAAAGATTTTAATAGTGTATAACACCTTGCTTCTCACTTGAACCATGTAACTTAGTCAGGGAGCCATTCTCTGTAGTTCAGTACAGTTCTCAGAACTTTCTGTAAGACCTATGTGGAACGTCTAATTCAAGGCTTCTTGAGACAAAGTGCTAAAAACATCTGTAAAATATCAGCAAGATACCCAGAACTGCAATGAAAGACCTTTTTGTATTCACACATTTCATTAGCAGATAGCTTGTACTCAATGATATACTTAAAAAAAATGATCTCCTGGTATATAGAAGTGTCTAGAAAGCTTCAAATAGAAAGACTCTCCTTAAATTTACCTCTAATAAGCTACAGTCCTTAGTATTTCTATTCATGAAAATGAGGAAGCAGTAGCTCTCTCAAACATTTTACCTCATTGTCGTAACTTTGGTGAACTTTTTACTTTGCTTCCATTGAAGTCAATGATGTCTCCCACTGACTGAACAGGAAAATATTTAGGCCAATATAAATCTCATAAAATATTCATTTTATCTTACATAAGTCTGGAAGTCCTAATAGACTTGATGAGCCTGTTTCAGTTTGATCTTTCTGATATCTACCACTCAGATCATGTTTATTCTACGATGTATAAACATAAAAACTGTGAATCATAACAAACTTGAGCATTTGTCACACTCCAGTGACTGTGGTATCATTAAAAGAAAGCTACTGCTGTAATAGCAACACATATAAAACTGAATTTTCATGTTTCTGCTGCTTCTTTTCACCCAAAGGGACAAAAAGATAGAACTCGTTTCAGAGTCAGGGACTTTGTGAAAGACAAGACAATCCAACACTGTTAATTATATAAGCTAATGAGAAAAAAAAATCCTACAGCTCTAAAATAGCATTAAAGCAATAATCACAAGAGGTAAAAGAAGCGTTTAAAATTTTCCCGCTCTGACAATTTGAATAACACCAAGTTCTTAAAAATATTCCGTTTTCTTACAGGGTGCAAAGCATTACATTTTATTGCCTTAGAGTTCATAATACATACTCATAATCTTGGTTTTTTTGCATGAATATGTCCTGTGTATCTTCTTCCATTTGCTGTAGTTCAGCAAAGAGATCAGTAGTTCCACCTGTGTTAAAATTCCTCTGAGTATTTTGACTATATTGTTGCAGGCGCTTCCACAAGTCATTATAAAGCCTCAGTAATTTAGGGTATTCTCCTTCAAAAGCTTGTTTCAAAAACATGGAGGCTGGAAAATAAAACAGTAAGCAATACGCATTGCTAAGTTCAAACTAATGTTCTGATTCATACAAACAACCTGTATCCTTGCATTAATATCAATGAATAATATGCAGTGTTATCCTATCTTTAATATTAATAATGTAATATTTATAATTAAATTCAAAGTGTTGTGAGTTATCACATTAAATGTAACTGACAAAGTCTAAAGCACTAGCATAAAATCCACATTTAGAAGACTGGACATGAAAAACTTATTTTGTACAACACAAATACTAATCATGGTCATGAAACATTTGCTATCAAACTTAATTATTAGTATTATCATTAATTTAAGTTCAAAGTGTGATCAGACTCTCTAAAACTGAAGATTTTCTAACAACAGCTTGATGGGGGAAAAGTGTGGGGCTGTGCAACTTTGAGGATTTAAAACAAAGACAACTTCTATAAGGCAAACACCTAAGGAATCTGGTGAGGGAAGCATACGCTTTTATACACACTTCTTAAAACAAAGGACGTAAAATGCAATTCCTGAACTTGTCAAATACAGAATGACAAGCAAGCAGAAAAATCAGCCTTGTTTTCAGCCTTGAGAAGCTTGCCACAAGTAACAGGAAATGAAACAAATGTACAACTGTTTTAGTGACTGCTGTTAATCTTGATCTAACATCACTCATACTTTATGGATTTCCCATTACATTAGGAGATTAACACTGTTAAGTTTTTCAGGTTCCAGACATCTGCCCCATTTCACCCAGCCTACCCTTCACCTCAAATATATTCTAATTTTGAACACTGGAGGACTCACATTTATTATCAAACAAAGAGTTATTTTTGGTCACAAAGCTATATTTATACAGAATGTCCCAACCTCACAAAAGCAGACCATGAGCTATCACCAAACACTGCAAACTGCCACGAATTCCTGTTTTTACACTATTTTTCTGATATTGTCCAGTCTTCCTCTGATCTATGCGATCCAGAGATCCGTGACTGACATCAGTGGATTCAATACTTAGAATTTATATGATAAAAATTAACATTCTCATTCAGATGCATCACTTAAAAAATTAAAAAGTCTACTCGCTGTAAGCATTGTTTTCCCAAAACTCTGGTTTGGCAAAATAAAAACAAAATTCATGGTTCAAAAATCTAACTACTCCTTCTAAATGTTTATATAAAAAACATTATTAGAAACCATAAGTAATAAAATATTTTTGAATAGTTGTCAGACAAAGTACTGCTGACAAAATACAAGAGTTCCCTTACTGCTGAAATGTTGACTGATCCCATTAACCAATGCCACAATTCTACAATTTTGAAACGGAGTGCTGAAAACAGGTAGCAGACGTTCAGTTCGAACAGATGAGATTCTGGGAATGTACACACCGTTGTTAAAGTAATGCTTAAGGCAAACAGTAAAATTAATGTGTTTTAACACAAGATGAATACATTTTCTTTTGGGTTACTTAGCAACCACTGAACATGAATCAACCAGCTAGTTCCTCAACACTATATTGCTGCTATAAAGCCTGGAAGGACCAAATTTTGAAGGGCCAATGCAAGAGCTGAGGCCACAAAAATAAATGCAAACCTTATGCACTTGTATGTGCAAAAGATTAACTTTATACATCATATACAAACATGAAAGATATATTTATGAAAGCACCAAACTCACCTGGATTTATGATCCAATTGCCTGCTGCATTAACATGTACCAGCAATAGTAGTCTTATGCTTATACATGATTTTTATTTAATATTCCTATTCACTATTTATTACATAACTACACAATAGTGTGCATAATCAAAGCACCAGCCATTTATCTATATTTAGACACAATTTTGAAGAAACTCAACTATTTATAAAGGTATCAAAAATGGCTAAAATCAGATTTTTACAACTGATCACTGCTTAATAAGAAAAGACTGTTAAGAACTGCTCTTTAAAATCAACTTACTATTTTTGAATTTGCAAACCCATTCATTTTGGAAATTATAATGTACCATTCCAAACATTTTTACCTCCACATACAATTGTAAAAATACATTTTTGTTATTAGATAATTACTACTTAATGAAGCAGAAAATATTTCTTTTTGAAAATTGAACCACAGTTTAGGAGGATCACCCTGTTTGGTTACAAAACCAAGAAGTTTTAAATTCATGGACGCCACACTGAGTGAAGCATTGCTGTCGTTCTAGTAGAGAAGATAATGAGCAACGGACTTACTGAAATGAGATATTCAAATTAACTACAGACCACATCACAAATCATTTATACTGAATACTTACAGTCTGTTGCTGACTGAAATTGAGAGGAAAGCGTCTGAGTTACTGCAGTCCAAAATTTGTACAAAATATCAGACTGGCCATCCTGAGAGCAAGGGACAAAATAAATACAAGTTTCAAAACATACTTTTTTCAAAGAATTGTAAACAATGCAAATGCTTCCAGTCAAAGCTGTTTTATCATCACTGAGTATAAAACTAAGGAAATTAAGACTAAGAAGTTCTCCTCAAGTTTAAACCTAGAAAAACTATTAAAGAAAGCAAAAATAAAGTCTTCGGTCTTCTCTCAAAGGGAGTATTTTCCTTCAAATCTGAGACAAATGCTCCCAGCTCTCTAGGGCCACGAGTGCGGGCTGAGGCAGCACAGCTTGGGGGCTGTTAGAAAATCTCTGCACCACAGTGACCCTCTCATTCTGGGGGGGTTCTCCTGCTGACTTCATCCCAGCAATTACTGCTACTGCCATTACACCACCAACCGAGGACCAAAACCAGCGCATTCTGCCGTGCTTCACGCAGAACAGTTTCCTGTTTATAAAAACACAGAACACATGAAAATACAGTGAACCTCACAGCTGTCTGGTCACCAGGGCTTGCTGTCAGAAGTGGAAACAAAGTAGCATGGTCTTGCAAAATGGACATAAAAGAAATAGCAGGCTGTTTCCTTAATGCTCCCAACAGCTTGCACTCAGGCTCAAGCATTAAAGCATGATTTTGTTTTCCCTCTTTTGCTCTCTTCCTTATTCCTAAAGACATTCAAAGACAGATAACATTTATGGGTCATGTGTTAAGAATTGAGGGAGTACATCTTTTATGCTGCTGGAGTCATACTTGTAAAATGTATCAGAATTAACATAGAAAACTAAAATAAACTGGGATGATGGAATCTCATTTTTGACTGCTTGTTGACACCGATGAATTTAGAAACTGAAGGAACTTATTTTATAGCTACGATTGTATTTTCTGTAAAATTGTACTTGATTTTCATAAATGGACAAAGTAAAATTACAATATTAGACAATGATTCAGAAGGTGCACTGCATAAAATATCTTTGGGGTTTTTGTAAATTTATTACTGTAGCATAAATGTGAAATTACTGTTCTTCATTTTACAGCTTCACATTTAAAACATGAAAATTACTATAAAACAAATGGCCTTTCACATCAACTGTAGAGTAAATTAATTAGCTTTCATATTCTCTATCCCAACCTGGAACAACGTTTGCCTATTCAGCATGGTAACTCAATTCAATTTCTAAATAATCTAATGGAGGTAGAAAAATACTTACAGAGCACTTTCAAACAACTTTTTTTTTCACTACTGTAATCACCATCTACACTTCTGTCATAGTCTCAGCAGAAAATGCAATGATTAAAGGATCTTTAAAACAAACTTGCATGTAGTCCCTCCACTTTGTCATTTCTATCTTAATTGTCAGATTCAACATGGCGACAAATAATGGTAACATACATGTGATGACATTTAATGGTTCTGTGAAAACACATAACTTTTGTATAGACTTATGTAAGTACATATGTGCTCACGTAAACATTTGCATGGTAGCCAGGGCTGTACCAATTAAGCTTCTGCCCACTGGCTTGTGTCTTCTCACCTGGGCAAATGGTGTTCATTAACTGTATCAGAAGTTTGTAGTGAAGAAGGCCCTCACATATTATGTATGTGGAGAAACGGGGGGAGAAAGCTACACAGAAAATTCAAATAACATTCCATGCTGATTGACGACTCAGTCAAAAATGTTTACAGGGAAAATGATTAAATGCCCCAGATTTGGACCAACTAAAAACACTATCTACAGAGTCATTGCTGGTTGCTTTTGTAATGTAAGATACAATACTTCACTTTGTCCAGTGTTGAGATGCAGTCACTCTGGAGGTGAAATACAGCTGCTGAATAATAGCACACAAGAGACCATGTAAGAGTTTGTGGCAGGAACAAGAGAATACTGTTGCCTACGCATACACCAGGGGGTATTTAAGTGGGTGGACTGTAGCTACCAATATTGGTATGCAGCAAGGCATTAGCATTAGATACTCCTGCTGGAGTAAAAAGTGCCATATGCAATCATAAGCATCCAGAAACCATTTATTTATTTTGCTTAAACCTGTAATTTCCTTTGCTTACACATTAACTCAATATATTATTTTTAAATACTTTTAAGTATCTCACTGCTTATTTTTAAAATAATGTATTCTCACAGAGATTACATCTGTGACTGTAGATCACAAAGGAAATTATAATTTAACTATATAAAACACAATGTGCAATTCCATTTGATAATAATCAGTACTAAAAAATGACACAAAAAAGGGTAGCAAAAGCAGAGGTTTTCTCCAACTTAGCGGGAAATTAAGGGACTGTCCCTCTCCTTGTACTGGACAACTTCTTCAAGGACCTAAGAAAATAGGCAGGGTGAAGGTGGAAGGTACTGCTTGTCTGAAACATACCCAGCAAATCCACTGGCTCATCTTGTTGAAATGGAAAGTTTATAATCCTTCCCCCATCTCTCACAGCACTGTGAGCAACATTCCACAGTACCAGAAAGTAACTGCTCTTTAGGGCCTTTCACTTTCAGAAAATGTCATCTAGCTAAAATTGCCTTTTTGTCCTCTTCTCATCTGTAGAGTGTAAGAAATGAGTTTAGTCCTCTTCTACACTTTCACTAAATATCCTCACTGGTAGACAATGTATAGGAGCACTGGGTACATCCCCATTAATGATTTGATGCATAGAAGGCACTCTTTTTGGTGTTAATTCATCTTGTGTCTAGCAGACTAACTTCCACTATTCAAGGAATGCACTACCTCATCATTAGCTTAAAAAGAACAACTTCTCCAATTAAATAGCTTTTTGTAGCATATCATTATAATTTTGTAACAGAACCCACAAGGATGTACTAATATTTTTATCAGTTAATATTCTGAGACTTTAAATTGGGAATTTTCCATTTCTCTTGTTTCTGAAAATGAAATAAACCTGAAAGATGTTAAATTACTTACACCCCCTCCAAAATAAAAAATGCTTGCTTTGAAATCTAGTCACAAGCAGATTAACATCTTGTGATACAATCCCTTGTAGCAGGAGCAGCTGACAAGATGAGTAATGAACTGCATCCGATTATCTTTTCAGCTCTGGCAATCATTTTCCAACAGCTTCCTATTCCATAACCAGCAATGCTGGGAAAAGGTCACCATGCTGTCATATTTCCCCTCCATCACTTATGTGTTTAATAACACAGTGAACACATAAACCTTTGGAAGTTAGGAGGTCTAATCCTGTTATCTGGGGCAAAACTGTTTCAGGTGCTTATTGCACATATAAAAATTCTACATAAAACATCCATACTTAATATAAAGTTTCTCAGAAGAAAAATATTATACTTTAGTGTATAATAGAATGCTATTTTCTCTTTTCATGCAATGTGTTCTTTCTTCAACAAAAGAACCTTAAGTATAATTAATGGTATTTAGAACTCAGGACAGGCAAGATTCAGGTTGATATATGTATTTCTTTCCCATCATGGAATACAACTGAATTAAATCTATGAGCATTAATTGCAAGCAACTGTAAGACTATAATGGCAAAACAGTATTTTCCCCCAAAAGCAGATCCATTGAACTCAGCATTTTTTAATTGCTGGTACTATCTGTTCATAGCTTTATTTTGACCTCACAGCAGAGAAAATCTGCACCTAAATCATACTTTGCACCACTACAAAATGGTTGGGAGTTTAAGGTCAGCCACAGAACTGGCTATTTCTTCATAAAAATCTACTGTGAAAATGCTCCTATACCTAAATTACACTTACACAAACGAATAACCTACTAACCCAAAGTGGGAATTAAAAATACTGTTCCTGTGCCCAGTGACCACTTTATTCCCCAAAACTGACACAATCGAGCAGGACTCAGATGGTTTCGTAGCCCCTGTGCAACGCCTCTGGCAGTGCAAGACAGCCAAGATCCATCTTCCTCTTGCCAATTCTTTGCTTTCAGAAACAGACTAAACAACTGTCCAGTAACATAAACTAGGGCAACCCTCTGCCATCTGCTGAACTGCTGGCCAGAACCAGGGGAAGAGAAGGATGCTTTTGAAAGACATATGGACTACAAGCACTTAGCTACTTGTGAAAATGTTATTCCTAGGGAATCCACTTGCATCTGTGTAGAGTAAAATAGAAAAAGACAACCATCAGATTCCAGTCTGGGTCATTCACTATGATTTTACCCTTTTTCATATTGTTAAAAAAATTCAGTACTCAGTCACACATGCAATTCACATAGGAATTACTTGCTCATGGAAATTACACACATAAATCAGACAAAATATGTCTGGCAGGCTAGACCACAAATGGGAATTAAATTTCTCAACCGTAGGGCTCACTTTATTGTGTACACGAACTGGACAAAGATCATCAGTGTAAGTCATAATTCAACAAAGTTCACCCTTATTAGAATAATAGATGCAGGCAGTCTGTTTGACTTCCACTGTATGCTTTATTTATGCGAAATTAAGAATGTGCTTAAGTGTTTTGCTGAATCAGGGCCATAATCAACAATCAGCAAAAAATGTGTTCACCTTGTACAACTGTCTAGTTTCAACTAATACTATAAAGTTACTATTATCAATACTCTGCACAGACAATAATATTGTGCAACTTCCCCGCAGCAGAGGAGTTTTTAGGTAAAACAATTAAGAATATGTGATACTACTGCTTAATGACAGTGCCAGGAGCCATTTGGACAGTGCTACTTCATCCTGCTCTCTGTCCTGGCTTCAGAAAGCAAAGTCAAATGTGGGCTTGTGCATTCTGGGTAAACATAGACTAGCAAACTGTATTTTAACATAAGTTTCTCTTAAGTAAATCTTTCTGCTGCAAACTAACAAAATAAAAACTTTCACCAATACTACAAGCATAATAAGTTTGAAAATTTAATATTCTACTGGGCAAACGCTTAACACTTTTGCTAGTCTAGGACAGAAAAGGTCTACATTTAGTAGATGCCAAATCCAAAGCAGCCGACTGGCCTTTCAGGCAGAGGTTTCAAGCTGCAGGTCAACAGAATCCCA